AATATATACCTAAAATAATATATATATATATATATATATATATATATATATATAGTCTCTCCCAACATAAAATTTCTAAATTCGTCATTGTACTTATATATTTTATCTATCAAAATTACAATTTGATAAAAAAAAATGAATATTGATTTAAGGCATTATAAACTGAATTTTGATAAATAAAAAAAATGAATATCATCAGGATCGTGAAGTATGATAGTATATATAATTGAAATTATAATAATATTAATTCTACATTTCTCTTTTATACGAATATATTACGGAAAAAAGTAAGAGAGAAAAGTCCACTGCGCACTGGTGAGTTTACTCTTTCTTTTTCTTAAAATAAAATATTTCAATACGCTTTTCTTTGTTCCAATGTGAGCGTCGCCATAGTACCGTACTTAATATGCGACCAGTATATCAGACAGTTGATCTGCATAATATTATATTACTATATAGTAGTACAAGTACTAAAACATCACTAATGTAAATACGTGATCAACCCCCCTCTTATCATAATATTTTTCCCAAGATTGTTTGGTTACATATGTATGGGCCGCATGGAATTTTCAGCTAAACAATGAACATCTTTTGCCGGCCAAGGATTTGGAACTGTATCACTCTCTTCTTTTCCGGCATTTAATTACGTGTCATGTGTTGGGGTTGAGTTGTTTTTATAAGGTTATTACACAAGCATACTTTATAATGATGAGATATTGTCCGCTTTGGGTCTAAGTCCTCAGGATTTTGCTTTTAGTTATTACCCAAAAAATTTCTCAATTATTAAAATATGTTTGTACTATATAAATTGTTATTTCTTATTTTATTTTATCAATGTGAGACTTGTTTGTATTTCAACATCATGTTGTGATTTTCAACATTCTTCGTGCGTAACATTACAAATGGAACATAGTTCATAGATGCCATATAGCATGATACCCATAATTAACTGCCTGTTAACTCCAAATTGTTTCGACATCTTACTGTTGTTGGTAAGTGTATAAAAACCAAAGTTCATTAGTCATGTATCAAAGTAAGGTTTGAATATGTAACACTTATTTTAAAATTCAAGTAAATATTTTCCAAGACATGTCTGCATATAAGAATACGAATCTGCAGTTTGGCATTCAAGTGAAAGCTATGATGGCTGATTCACTATCTGTTAACGTTGATTCTTCATTCAAGTCTGAATTTTCCACTGAACAAAAACGCATAAGTACCCAAGAGGCTCAATACTCTCCATCTAACATCCAAAAGGTACCTATACATGAAATAATCAATACGATATACAATTATCATATCATTATAGCAATCTTCTCCAAGAGTATTTCTTGTTATTTCTTATGTGTCTATTGTCTTACCCCACCTCTGCATATGTAGGCTATTGCTGAGGTGGTTGGTACATACATTCTTATATTTGCAGGCTGTGGAGCCGCTCTTGTTAATGAGAAATTGCCAATTACAATATTAGGCATAGCAATTGTTTCGGGTCTGGCTCTCACGGTGGCTATATATTCTGTTGGTCATGTCTCTGGTGGTCATTTCAATCCTGCAGTTACAGTTGCTTTGGCTGCTGTTAGAAAAGTTCATTGGAAACTTGTAAGCTACTTGTTCTAGTTACTCACAGTCACTTCCATTATGGTACCATGTAGTATTGTTCAATCACAGGGATCATTGGGTGCTCAAACTTTTTTTATTTTTTGTCCCTACTGTTTCCTAGGTGCCTGTTTATGTGTTGTGCCAGATGATGGGTGCTACACTGGCCCCTCTCACCCTCAAAGTGTTGTATCATGACAAGGTGGATATTGGAGTAACAGTAACTAAATACTTGAGCTCAACTTCTGATCTCGAAGCAATTGTGTGGGAATTCATAATCACTTTCATACTGATGCTCACCATTTGTGGTGTTGCTACTGATCACAGAGGGGTACCGTTATTTATAATTTACCATGGATTATCTTAGGTCTTAGCAGTAGCTATCTATAATATTTCTATTTCTCTACTCCACAATTACTGCATTTACTTGTCAACTTCAAAAATTAATCCTCTTGTTAGATAAAAAGTAAAATTTGTCCTTTAAATATATTTCTGAAAGGACTAATTTGATCTAACAAAAATACTTTGAGGCTTCAATGGAACTTTTAAATATAGAGGACCACAATAAAACCAAAAAGTTGAAATAAGAGACTAAAATTCTGATTTAGCCTAAAAACTCTTTAGAACAACAAAATTCCACCAATAAATCTGGCATCTTGTTGTATTTTGTTTGATGAGGTAGGAACTAATTTGGTGCCTTTACTGATTGAAACAGAGCAAAGATCTCACTGGAGTTGCGATAGGCATTGCTATTATAATTAACATCATTATTGCCGGGTAAACTAAACAACTTCTACAATCTTCATATCACAATTCTCGTTAGTGCATTTTCTTCATGGCGAAAATGAAATTCTAGAACCTTTGCAGGCCTATTACTGGAGCTTCAATGAATCCAGCAAGGAGTTTTGGCCCAGCTATCGTATCTGGTGATTACAAACACATTTGGGTTTATATCACAAGCCCAACTCTGGGAGCAGTCACCGCAAGTGCACTTTACAAATTGCTAGAAGTAACCAAACCAACTAAACCTGAACCATGTCATTGTAACATGTGCAATCATAACCATTTACCTTTATAACCCATCAAACGATTCACTTTCATGAACTTGATGAAACCCGTTGTGGATCTGTAATTTCTAGTTAGCTTAAAAATAAACAATCTTCTTGCTTTAGCAATTCCCCTAGAAATGCAAGTTCCAAATGTTTCTAAAATGTATTTATGGCTAAAGCAAAACTGTTGAGTTACTAAATTGATGCAATTATTTGCATATCTCCACTCAACCAACGGGAATTTCAGGAATAAGCATTACAGAGACAGGGAAAAATAAAATCAAAAAGTGTCTTGGCACTGTCTTTTAGTTTGCCATATAGAGAAGTTTTGGAGATGTGAGCACCTTGATGAGTGCACTTTACAGCAGTCAAAATAAATGTACATGATTATGGGACAGAACATGTAAATAACTACCTTAAATGATAAGCATAACCCTGGACCAAAGGTCCAAATCCAATAGTGGCTCTTTCTCCTCCACAACACAAATTATACTATACAGTAGGCCTACAAATTTTGTACAAGAGAGCAAAAGGCACTGCAGATGAAACTACCCGTATGGACTGAAATTTTCATGCACATTGGATTGGAGGTCAGCCGTTAATCATGTGTCAAGACAGGTTTAAGGATGTCGGAAAGGATGTATGAAATGATCACATGTATGTCCATAGCGAGGTTCGCCATCCCACGTTTCCCAAATGAAGGGGGTAGTGCATTTTCCATCTCCCGGATACTAAACAGCATGTTCTAGATGTGAATTACCTGTGATTGAAGTGTTAATTGTAACAAGGTAACAAGAAGACAAAAAGAAGGATATCATAACATTAGATCAGAAACAACATCAAGAAGATTGGAATTCATTAGATGATTTTCCTGATAAATCACAAAAACATGAAAATATTGCAGTACACCCTTTCAATCTAGAACTAGAAAGTACAGATGCCACATCAAAGTCATATAACATAACATGGCTGCAATACAATTTCCTATATATAAACGACCTTTTTGAGAATGTACTTGTTTGTTTTTATAAGACCATCTTTAAATTGTCTCTTGCATTACTTTTTTTTTCTTTACCAAATATCCTTAATTTCATTACAACTATTGTTGCCGATAAATAATAAATACTATAAATTAATAAGATAAACTCCATCTCTTTTAAAAATCAGAGAAAAAGAGTAGCACAAATTAATTTATTAAGTGGAAAGAGTAAAATGATGAGTTCCAATAATCTTAAGGATAATTTTGAAAACATAATACACATTGTTAACAAATTTAACACTAACTTCATTAACCAACTTAATTTAGGTGAATTAGTTAGCAAAATCTTATATATAAGTACGAAGATAGTATTAAGTTCAAAGAAGATCTTAAATTAAAAGATAAGATAGATGCTTAAAAAAAAATTAGCATGATTGGTTGTCCATCTAATAAAATTCTGTAACTAAACTAATTATTGTGAAGAAGACAACCAGGAGAGTGAAAAAACCAAAAAGCAGGCATGAGGAAGAAGTGTTTTATAGATATTAAAGAAGCCTAAGAAAATTGAATAGAAGCAGGTTAGCCACACTACGTTTCCAAAATCCTCAAATGGTTGTAGAATATGACCTAGTAAAGTTGTAATGAAACTGTTTACCATGAATCACAAAGTACATATATGTTATTAATGTTTTCAGTGCTTTGGCAAATCTCACCCAGTCTGAGGTAGCCGTGTCCAGTTCATCAATTGATGAGACTGAGGATGCTGCCTCTGCAAGTAAGATGAACTGGCTCCTATACCATTTTCATCATCTACAAACTGTTCTGAGAAGTTAGAAGCTGGGGGAGACCACACTGGAACTTCACCCCCATCCCTTTCTCTCCTAGTACTACTTGAAGACTCTGCTGTGGAATCTTCAGCCGCATTTCTCAACCACATTGTAGCATTAGCATTATTCTGTACTCTTGTGTTTCTATTTACATTCTGCAACGCTCCTTGATTCACTGTCCCTCTTGCATCCGGTTGTGTGTTCACATTTATAGGCACTTCAGCTCTGCTGTCTGCAGCCGAGTTTCGAAGGTCTGAAGATGTTTCTTCCTCTTCCACTCGCACATGTGAAGAAGTGATACTTGGCACCATCTGATCCTCATAGCGCCGTGTGCCGTGAGGTGGGTTGTTCCTAACAGGTTCAAGTCTTTCCTCCATTTGAATGTCTTGAGGAAAAGCAATAGGGGCTGATTCAGATGAGTCTCCAAGCCCTTCCTCAGTTCCATTTTCCATTGCAGCTCTAGAAGCTGCTTCTTGTTGCCACATTTGTATAAGTGCTTCTTGCAGTCTTACTTTTGCTGCATCTATTCCCACAATGGGAAGAGGGTAGTTTGATCCAAGTTCAATTCCAGCAGCTTGGAGTACTGACTCAGGCGCATTCCATGGATGGTGTATCCATTGAGTTGGTAATCTAGCAAGTTCAGGAAGCCAGCGTCTTACATATTCTCCATTTGGGTCACATTTGTAACCCTCGAACTAGAAAATACAAAACTCAAATGAGTGCATCAATCACAAAATAATTATCATCTTTAAGCAGTCAAATAGCTGACAATAGCATAATCAAAATCTTTGAGTTCAATCTAATTGCCCCTAAAATTGGAGAAACAAAGATATGAATCCAAACAAAATTAAGTTTATCAAAAAAATATCTCAATAGTTCTGATTGATCAACCATGTCCAAAGGGTATTTTGGTGATAATAACGACCATCACAAATTTTCAGTAGGAAGAAGTTCTGATAAGGCAAAAGAAGCTCTCTAGTGTAGTCTTGTCCATGCTGAGAATTTTAACTTTCAAACAATGAAAAGGGTTAAAAGTGGCATCACTCTAGATAAGAAAATTGAAACTTGAACTTCTCTCCACTGACTGAAATATAAGCAATAGTGGGATGGACTTTTGGCTTCATCTCAATTGATATTCAAACAAAAAAAAACTGGCTTGTATGCTATATACATAGCAATATTTGAATCAGTTCAGAGAAGAGGGTGGAAATACTTTTTGTTCTATTTCACTGTGGAAAAACTCATTGGTGGACAGAATAGTCATTGACTCGCACAAATTACACAAACCAGAAAAGTAATGATAACAGGATTATGCAACCCTTGAGATGGCTTTCCTTTTCAATGAAAGAAAAAGATCATGTAAAAAGATGACCATACACAAAAATATCATCAACATAAAGCAAGACTATGTAATTTATACTTTATACACAGAAGCAACTGCACCTGTGGATTATCTATTCGGTCAAATTCGCGACCATCAGGAAGAGTACCAGATATGTATTGCCAACCAAGAGCATCACTCTCAAGATCTGCATCCAAAAGGGTATCCCAAAAATACTTCATCCCCCATCTCCAAGGAAGCTGCAGAACCTTCACAAAGAAACTAGAAACCACAACACGTATCCGATCATGCAACCAACCAGTTGCCCACAACTCTCTCATTCCAGCATCCACCAAAGGGTACCCTGTTCTGCCTTGTCTCCAAGCCTTAAAGTACCCTTCATTCACCACCCAAGGGAAAAACTTAAGGTGTCCTAGAAGAGGCCTTTCGTGACTATAAGGGTGGTTGAAACTAATGTACCTTGAATACTCTCTAAGACCAATGGACTTGAGAAACAAGTTCACACTCTCTTCACCAGCCTTGTTTCCTTCGTTGGCCCAAAACACTTGCTTGATGCGGACGAGGTGGAACACTTTCTTCACACTCACCTCACCAAAGTGCAAATGTGGCGAGAGAAATGAGGTTGTGGCACTGTCAGCCTTCCTGCGATTCTTTGAGTACTCGATCAGAGGACCATTTATGAATGTTGTTAATGCCTTGTCAGCATTGCTCCACCCCGGTGACCATGCTCGCGCAAGAAGCGCATTGCTTGCTTTCTCTAATTCGTCTTCAAACACCAATGTGTCACCAGGGCACCTTGACACATCACCTGAAACAAGGTAACAATTGTCAACATAGTGTGAATTAAATTGATTAAATTGTTTGCATGTACCAAAAAACTGAAGTACACATGATATACAACTACTACTACTACTAGAAGAGTGTACAAAAGTAAGACCCATACAAGTGTCATTACTTTGATCCTTGATTCAGTGCATCAATAATGAAAAGTTAACCATGGTCTTCCAAAGTTTTTGACATTAATTTAGTCCATTACTCATGCAAAGTGTCATGAAATTAGACCTCCGTTACATGCAATATTTTTTCGTTGAACAAAGAACTACCTGAATCACATTTTGCACAATTGAGAAATTAAAATGCATTTTTTTTTTCTCTTCTTTCAAATACTAGACTTATAAAGCTTTGTTTTTTTTATAAGAGAAAAAAAATTAAAATAAACTTTTTCACATGCTAAAATTAGTTTATGCATGAGATAAAAATAAAATTTTAAAAAAATTAATAAGAGAAAGTTTCTACAAATTAAGCTATGTTATATAGAGATTATGGGAAAATTTATTTCATTTTTCTTCTTTATTTTTCTCTCCTAAAAGTATTTTCCGGGGAAAATTTATCCAAACATCCCCTTGACTTATGTTGACATGAGATGTCAGCTGTAACAACTGTAGAATATTTGCAGCTTTTCTTTTTTTAACAATCGTTGGAAAACCACACTGGAAACCTATTGGTTGATAATCTATGAATTTTTACATGCATTTAAAAGTTAAAATGAACTCCATCATGATAGCAATATGATTTTACTTTTGCACCTTTTTTTGCTATGTTACATGGTACAGTAACTTTTAAGCGGTTCAAAGCATGCTGTTCAATACCCAATTTGGATAATATGTTCATAAGTGGCAACTTCAAACTAGAACCACAAGAGGTAAATTACTGTGAATGCAGCTGGCAACCAATCAATATTAGTTATTATTAATAAAATTTTAAAAAAAAATGTGAGGCCAAGGAAAAAAATGAATAAAAGTAGACCTGGAATAATTCTTTTAGGTGGGAGAAGAGGTGCTTGTGGGTCATAAGGCATGCTAAGGCATCTTTCCCAAAAAGCAGAAAAAGTTGTGAATGGTTGGCCATGAGCGTCATTCACATCCCATGGTTCATACAATAAGTCCGAGTTGAAGGAACGTACGACAATTCCTTGAGCAGTCAGAACCTCCTTTGCTCTGTGATCCCTCACAAGTGACAACGGATCTGCAACACAGATAATTACAACTCAGCATTTAATTAAACACAGTTTTTTTTTTCTCACTCTCTCTCTCTAATTGAATATCATCATGAAGCAGAAGGGACGAACTTCACTTTTCTTATGAAACAACAAAAAAGGAAATCCAATGATATAAATAGAAGATGACACAAACTAAAAAGAAAAAACCATAATCAAGCAGCTACAAAATAACAGACAAAACTTCCAAGTTCACCAAATAATAACAGAAACCACTCAAATTGATAGAACCAAGGATCCTACAATCTACAATGATGTTGTTCATTACTGAGCAACGAAACATCAAAACAATTGTACAAAATATGATACACAAGGAAAGAAGTTGAAGTAGCAAACACTAGAATCATATCATATCAAATATCATACAAAAGCAAGAGAAGTAGGTGAAGTAATTAACAAAGGGGATAAATAAAAACTGACCATATAAATGGTTGAAAAAGAGTTGAGTAGCCCCAGTGGACTTAATAACCTCCAACAAAGAAGAAACACTATTAGTGGAACGTTTGGTGATAAGAGGAGTGCCAAGGCTTCTCAAAGAGGAATCAAGGTGAGCCAAGCTTTGTTTGAGCCACCACCTAGAGACCCTACCAGGGTAGTATTGACCCTCTTCTTCAGGAGCCCATATGAAAACAGCAACCACTGCACCTGCTCTCACTCCTGCAGCCAGTGCAGGGTTATCCTCCACCCTCAGATCTCTCCTGAACCACACTATGCTGCATCCACCACCTGACATCTCCACAAAAGTACTCTATTCACACACACACACACAACCTCTCTGTTAACCATATACCAGATCTCTATCCTTCCTTTCCTTTGACCACTCAGCCTCAACAACAACACCAAGATATGCTTACTAACTAATCTTATCTTTTTTTCCCCTTCTCTCTCTCACACTTTTTTTTTTATTCCTTTTGGTCTTACTGAGGGAGATTTTAGGCCATAAAGAGGTAAAAAGCAAAATTTGATATTTGAGTATACAACTGAGGTTTGACACTTATCTTTTAATTCCCTTTCTCCCACACTTTGGCATTTCTTTTGGGGGGGATTGATTTCTTTTCCAGAAAATTCTTATTTCGGTCCTCTCACCCAAGTTGCATCGAGAGAGAAGAGACACTGAGGAGAGGGTCCAAGTAGAGAGAGAGAGAGAGATGTGAGGAAGAACAAGTGAAGAGGATTGGCCAACTGAGTGGGGATACAATGAATTGATAGGCAAACCGCAACCACACCTTTTTTATGTCACGTAGATTTTCGTATTTCTATTATCCTATGCAACAAAATAAATCACATCTACGTCTCTAGTTTCTTCCATTTCTATCCAAGTGACATGACGCGGAATCAGAAAATGATGGATACAGATACAGTGAGTGCCACCCTCATGGCTCTTAAAAAAAATTACAATGTTTTCTTTTTCAGCGTACTTTACTTATGTTTTCTAATTCATGACTCATCTCAGAAAACCCACCTGGGCATGCCACAATTTTTTTTTCCGAGGTCGTGGCATCTTTTTCAAGTTTTTAGTTGTCCTACTTGGACACGGAAATACATAAAAGATTCATATGGATTCCCAAAATGTCGTGTGAGATTTGAGGCTTTATTTTTTTTTTACTAATAGTAGAAGTGCAAATCAAGCACCAAGAGAGAAAGAAATAATAACCAAAAAGAATTGCAAATATCTTCCATGATACCTAGTTTGTTTGTTTGAAGTCAATTGTAATATGTTCCCTTGTCTTACGCAACTATTCGGGTTGGTCAATTCTTTATGTTATTCAATTCTCATTAATGTATGTATATAAGTATAACCCCCATGTCTTTACCAACAAAAAGTCGGATCTTTACCAAAAAAACCCCATGTATTAGTTAATAGTTACTTTTGATAGCATTAGTTAATAGTTACTTGTAACTAGATTTTAAAGTACGCATATATAATTGAGATTTTCTTCTAGATATAACCCACCCCTAAGTAGAAGACTACATTAACTCACTGCATATATTCATGATTAGGTAATGTATCTAATTTGAAAAATTAATAAACATCTCATTCTATATATTGTTATAAGCCACGCATTCAGAAAATATATATATTATCAATTAATTAAAAGTAATTATTAGTATAATTTTTAAAGTAGCACTTGAAAACATTAATAAATTTACCGTATATGAAAATTTGTTATTAAATGTTTGTCTAAAATCTTTCGGAAATAGTATATATACTATTTACATATGTAAAAAAAGAGATCCTTTAGATAAAGCTTTTAATTTAAGAGAAGAAACTTAAAATGCAAAATGAATCAAACTTTTTTCATAAGGTAATTGTCAACTTTTACATCACTATTGTAAAAGTAAGATAAGTTGATTTTATAAAATTCGAAGTTCAAAAGTGATTTGATCTTGTGAGAGAAGTATACTGATTTTACCATTTTATGTTCTTCTTTTATAAATACTTGTTGAAAAATTTATCAAAAACTTGAGTTATTTCAAACACTTTGATATTGTGCTTGGAAAGAAAAGTTGAAGATAAAAGAAAAGAAGTGTAAAACAGTGGACAAAAGTTAAAAAATATGGTGCGTTTGACATGAGAGAAGAGTTGAGAGGTGTGGATAATTTTTTGTGAACCCCATTAATAAAAACTTCCTCCATGATACGAGGGGAAGTAGGTATAACTTATTTTGTCCGTCTGTGTGTTGCGCAATAGTTATAACAATATAAATAAATAAATAAATATATATATATATATATATATAATATTTATATATTTTAAATAAAATTAATAAATAAAATAAATTTTGTTAATGATTTTTATATAAACTATTTATAAAAAATTAACTTTTATTTTATCTTATTATTTTTTTTATTAAATAACTTTTATTTCCACTATATTTCTCACCCAAATACTCTCACTCTATACTTCTTTTTTCTCCTTTTTATTTCATCTTTTACCAAACATGGTGTGAGCCCCTTTCAAAATAAATAAATACATTGAGTAATTACTAATATTTTAAAATCAACTGGTATAATATGTGTTTATAGTTTATTAGTTTAACTGTGATTGAATCATAATAGAATTAATAATAGTTAAATATATTTTTAATATTTTATATAAATAATGTAAATTTAAATATATTTTGAGTCTTTATAAAATGAATAAATTTTAATTTAAATCTCTAAAAAAAATTCATTCCTCTAAAATTTAAAACTACTATTTTTTATTTGAATTATTTTTATTAAAATATTAAAATGATCATCACATGTGTTATCTATGGAAACTAATATTATATCAATATATGATAGTTTTATAAATGTTTTTTAAAAGATTCTTAAAATAAACATTTTTTAGATACCTTAAAATGATTGTTATGGACTAAGAGTAATGATTTTAAATTTTAGGAAATTGAAAATCAAAGAAAAATATTTTGTAGGGATCAAAATCAAATTTTGCATATTTTGTAAGGATCAAAAAAAATATTTACAAATTTTAGAAAGATAAAAAATAAAGAAAAACATTTTTTTCATTTTACATAATTAAAAATATTTTTAAACCAATAATATATATATAATATAAAAACATATAAAAGTTAACTTATTGTGAAAATTTAAATTATCATAAAATGATGTTATTGATTCCACGTTTTTTTGTTTTAAACTTTTTGTCCATTTTATTTTTTAGTTTCTAAATAATTTTTTTACTAATTTTAGTCTCTTGAATTTTATCAATTTTCACTTTAGTCCTTAAAAAAATTTCTATTAACATTTTGATTTCTAACATCAAAATTTTTTGTTCATGAAAAACATTTCATGGACTATACTTTCATAGATTACAACTAAATAAAATTTCTTACATTTCATGGACTCCTATTACTATTACTACTATTCCATCATAATTCAACATAGTTAAACTATTAAACCTAAAATAAGTGTTTTGACCAATTCAGAGACTAATCTTGTTTTAAAAATATTGACAACAATGCTTTCAAACATTTTTAAATTATGGAAGCATTTGTTAACATTTATACCCAAATGAAAAAAAAATTATCAAATTTTAAACACTTGTAATTTAAGTTCTTATTATATTTAATAAGATCTTAAATCCTATTTACATTATAGTATTATTAAATTGACAACAATGCTTTTAAACATTTATAAATTATGGAAGCATATTTGTTAACATTTATACCCAAATGAAAAAAAAATTATCAAATTTTAAACACTTGTAATTTAAGTTCTTATTATATTTAATAAGATCTTACATTATAGTATTATTAAATTTGAATTTTTTTAATGAATTTTTAATAAAGGTACTTATTACAGATTTTTATAGTGTGATAATTTTTGTTACTACAATTATAATGGTTAAATATAATGAAAGTTATAGTTGCTAAATACAATGAAAATATTATAATTTAAAGGTAATAGAATTTTATTTTACAATTATTTTAATATTAAAAAATTAATACTTTTGGTTAAGACAAGTTTATGACATTTAACGTTTTATATTTATTATTTTATATAATAATTAAAGGTGATAATAAAGGTAGAAAAAAATTATTAATGAACATCTTTTAAAAGGGGGGACTTGTTTTATTTTTCCTTTTTACAAAACCATTATGTTTGTCTCTTTTACATAACAGTTATTAATTTTTAATCGCCTAATACATGTAAAACTCATTAATTGAATATTTAAATTTAAATATTTTTTTATAACTATAATATTTATACGAAGGATCAACTTAGCGGCTAATCTTTATTAAAAAATTTAAGTATACACAAAATTTGGTATTTAAAGTATAGTTATTTCAAACATTTAATATTATAGAATTAAAATATTAACTTTAATTAATGAAGATAAGTATATTATTTTAAAATAAAATTTTTAAGTAATTAGTGTAACTAATAAATATAAATAAATAAATAAATAAATATATATATATATATATATAATTAAGATAGTTCTATTCGATTTTGGTCAAATTTAAATGTAAGTAATTAATACTCAAATTCAAGATACTTAAAATTTCATTACTCAAATTTTTTCACAATTAAGCATAATATACAAATTGTGTGATTGTCGTTTAAGTAATATCTTAGTGCAATGGTAATATCTCGTTCCACTCATTTCATTTTTTTTTAAATAAAAATATTTAATTGAAATGAATTATTTAGCCATCGGACAAAGTTTTTAATTGAAAAGTTTATTGTAATCATAGATTTGCATAATATGTGTCTATGGATATTCGGTTTATATATGATAAATATGTGGAGGTAATGGTTAAAAGTTTTTTAATTCTTATTGTGTTATTGATTAAAAAATTTATACTATATATTTAATTATAATTGTGTGTGCATGTGCATGTAATGTTTTTAAAAAATGCGGTGTTGAGTATCTTTTATTATTCTTACATTAATCCCTTTTATATTTACAAATATTACATACATTGGCATTCTCTTATATATTATACTAATATGTACACGTTCAATGTTCAAAAATATTTTACGAACATTTCCTTATATATTTACCAAAAAAAAAATATGGAAGGTTATTGAAATGATTAAAGTAGTGAATATTTGTGTAACTCCATGAAACCTCATGGGTCCTACCTTGAGGGAGGAAGATTTTGTACTAAAACCTTGTTGCATGTAAGCTTTGACTATGGATTTGTCTAGTTGTTGTAAAGAACATATTTTTTTTATTGTTCAGGTTGTGTTTGGAGGCTTGGATGGTCCTATATCGAGGTTTTTAACTTAATGAGAGAAGTTCTAACTCAGAAAACCTTTATAGGTTGAATGTCCTAGTATTAAACTTAGGTTGTCACTTAAAGAAATAGGTATCATTTAATGAAAATGATGAATACAGTGAAGCTTGATTAAGCAAATCAGGTTTATTAAGCGAGTTTTGGTATCTATGTTGGACCAAGTGGTGGGTCGCTATATAAGGGTATTTGTCGCTATATGATGTTATTTCATAAGGGTATTTCTTTTCTATAATGATCGAAAAATTGTTTTATATTTTTCAGTTGATCCTTTATTCCCTAGTACGATTTATCTACTGTGTTGTTGATGTTGTACCAATGTATATTAAAAATGAGTTCCTCTATCATATAAACTTTTCAAACTTTCTTTGCTAATTAAAACTTAAATCAATAATAAACATTAATTAAACTACTAAGTTATACTAAACTACTTTATTTGTGAAAGAAAAAAAAAGTAACTTCAAGTAAAGGTAGAAAAGCAT